TAATGACACAGGTGTATTAGTGATGTAAGTGTGACACAGGTGTATTAGTGATGTAGTGATGAAACAGGTGTGTTAGTGATGTCGTGATGGACGACACAGGTGTGTATGTGATGTAAAAATGACACAGGTGTGTATGTGATGTAGTAATGACACAGGTGTGTTAGTGATGTAGTGATGACACAGGTGTGTATTAGTGATGTAGTGATGACACAGGTGTATTAGTGATGTCGTGATGACACAGGTGTGTATGTGATGTAGTAATGACACAGGTGTGTTAGTGATGTAGTAATGACACAGGTGTGTTAGTGATGGAACAGGTGTGTATGTGATGTAGTAATGACACAGGTGTGTATGTGATGTAGTAATGACACAGGTGTGTTAGGGTTGTAGTAATGACACAGGTATGTTAGGGAGGTAGTATACACAGGTTGTGTTAGGGAGTAGTAATGACACAGGGTGTATGTGATGTAGTAATGACACAGGTGTATATGTGATGGGTAGTGACACAGGTGTGTTAGGGATGTAGTGATGAAACAGTTGTGTATGTGATGGGTAATGACACAGGTGTTGTATGTGATATACGGATGACACAGGTGTGTTAGTATGTAGTAATGACACAGGTGTTATGTGATAGTAATGACACAGGTGTATTAGGGATGTAGTAATGACACAGGTGTATTAGTGATGTATGAACACAGGTGTATTATGATGTAGTGATGACAACAGGTGTGTAGTGATGTCGTGATGACACAGGTGTGAGTGATGTAGTAATGACACAGTGTGTTAGTTGATGTAGTAATGACACAGGTGTGTTAGTGATGGAACAGGTGTGTATGTGATGTAGTAATGACACAGGCGTGTATGTGATGTAGTAATGACACAGGTGTGTTAGGGTTGTAGTAATGACACAGGTATGTTAGGGAGGTAGTAATGACACAGGTGTGTTAGGGATGTAGTAATGACACAGGTGTGTATGTGATGTAGTAATGACACAGGTGTGTTAGTGATGTCGTGATGACACAGGTGTGTATGTGATGTAGTAATGACACAGGTGTGTTAGGGTTGTAGTAATGACACAGGTATGTTAGGGAGGTAGTAATGACACAGGTGTGTTATGGATGTAGTAATGACACAGGTGTGTATGTGATGTAGTAATGACACAGGTGTATATGTGATGTGGTAGTGACACAGGTGTGTTAGGGATGTAGTGATGAAACAGTTGTGTATGTGATGTGGTAATGACACAGGTGTGTATGTGATATAGTGATGACACAGGTGTGTTAGTGATGTAGTGATGACACAGGTGTGTATGTGATGTAGTAATGACACAGGTGTATTAGAGATGTAGTAATGACACAGGTGTGTTAGGGTTGTAGTAATGACACAGGTATGTTAGGGAGGTAGTAATGACACAGGTGTGTTAGGGATGTAGTAATGACACAGGTGTGTATGTGATGTAGTAATGACACAGGTGTATATGTGATGTGGTAGTGACACAGGTGTGTATGTTATGTAGTAATGACACAGGTGTGTTAGGGATGTAGTGATGAAACAGTTGTGTATGTGATGTGGTAATGACACAGGTGTGTATGTGATATAGTGATGACACAGGTGTGTTAGTGATGTAGTGATGACACAGGTGTGTATGTGATGTAAAAATTACACAGGTGTGTATGTGATGTAGTAATGACACAGGTGTGTATGTGATGTAGTAATGACACAGGTGTGTTAGTGATGTCGTGATGACACAGGTGTGTATGTGATGTAGTAATGACACAGGTGTATTAGGGATGTAGTAATGACACAGGTGTATTAGTGATGTAGTAATGACACAGGTGTATTAGGGATGTAGTAATGACACAGGTGTATTAGTGATGTAGTGATGACACAGGTGTATTAGTGATGTAGTGATGACACAGGTGTGTTAGTGATGTCGTGATGACACAGGTGTGTTAGTGATGTCGTGATGACACAGGTGTGTATGTGATGTAAAAATGACACAGGTGTGTATGTGATGTAGTAATGACACAGGTATGTTAGGGATGTAGTAATGACACAGGTGTATATGTGATGTGGTAGTGACACAGGTGTGTATGTGATGTGGTAATGACACAGGTGTGTATATGATGTGGTAATGACACAGGTGTGTATGTGTGTTTCAGGTATGATCACAGCCGTTGGTCTGTCTAACCTGCAGTTTGTGGATTTGAACTCGTCCAGAAATCAATTTGTTCTCGGGTTCTCAATGTTCTTTGGTCTGACTCTGCCCAACTACCTTGACAGACACCCCCAGACAATTCACACAGGTGAGTCTGTGTGTGTTTCTGTGTGTTTTGTGTGTTTATATAATTAATTTCTGATCACTGTTGATACCCACAAAGTAACAACAAGGAAACAAACTTTGTTCTTCAAAATAAAACAAATAATAGATCTGAAATAGATCAGGTATGACATAGATCAGGTCTGACATAGATTAGGTATGACATAGATCAGGTACGACATAGATCAGGTATGACATAGATCAGGTATGACATAGATCAGGTACGACATAGATCAGGTCTGACATAGATCAGGTATGACATAGATCAGGTACGACAGATCAGGTATGACATAGATCAGGTCTGACATAGATCAGGTACGACATAGATCAGGTATGACATAGATCAGGTACGACATAGATCAGGTACGACATAGATCAGGTATGACATAGATCAGGTCTGACATAGATCAGGCACGACATAGATCAGGTACGACATAGATCAGGTACGACATAGATCAGGTCTGACATAGATCAGGTCTGACATAGATCAGGCACGACATAGATCAGGTACGACATAGATCAGGTGTGACATAGGTCAGGAGTGACGGATCAGGTATGACATAGATCAGGTGTGACATAGATCAGGTCTGACATAGATCAGGTATGATGGATCAGGTACGACATAGATCAGGTCTGACATAGATCAGGTCTGACATAGATCAGGTACGACATAGATCAGGTACGACATAGATCAGGTACGACATAGATCAGGTGTGACATAGGTCAGGAGTGACGGATTAGGTATGACATAGATCAGGTGTGACATAGATCAGATCTGACATAGATCAGGTATGATGGATCAGGTACGACATAGATCAGGTCTGACATAGATCAGGTCTGACATAGATCAGGTCTGACATAGATCAGGTACGACATAGATCAGGTACGACATAGATCAGGTGTGACATAGGTCAGGAGTGACGGATTAGGTATGACATAGATTAGGTCTGACATAGATCAGGTCTGACATAGATCAGGTATGATGGATCAGGTATGGCATAGATCAGGTCTGACATAGATCAGGTACGACATAGATCAGGTCTGACATAGATCAGGTATGATGGATCAGGTACGACATAGATCAGGTCTGACATAGATCAGGTACGGCATAGATCAGGTCTGACATAGATCAGGTATGACATAGATCAGGTCTGACATAGATCAGGTATGACATAGATCAGGTCTGACATAGATCAGGTACGACATAGATCAGGTCTGACATAGATCAGGTACGACATAGATCAGGTATGACATAGATCAGGTCTGACATAGATCAGGTCTGACATAGATCAGGTATGATGGATCAGGTACGGCATAGATCAGGTCTGACATAGATCAGGTACGACATAGATCCGGTCTGACATAGATCAGGTATGATGGATCAGGTACGGCATAGATCAGGTCTGACATAGATCAGGTCTGACATAGATCAGGTATGATGGATCAGGTACGGCATAGATCAGGTCAGACATAGATCAGGTACGGCATAGATCAGGTCAGACATAGATCAGGTATGATGGATCAGGTACGACATAGATCAGGTCTGACATAGATCAGGTATGATGGATCAGGTACGGCATAGATCAGGTCTGACATAGATCAGGTACGGCATAGATCAGGTCTGACATAGATCAGGTACGACATAGATCAGGAGTGACGGATCAGGTCTGACATAGATCAGGTATGATGGATCAGGTACGACATAGATCAGGTCTGACATAGATCAGGTATGATGGATCAGGTACGGCATTGATCAGGTCTGACATAGATCAGGTACGGCATAGATCAGGTCTGACATAGATCAGGTACGACATAGATCAGGAGTGACGGATCAGGTATGACATAGATCAGGTGCGACATAGATCAGGTCTGACATAGATCAGGTCTGACATAGATCAAGTGCGACATAGATCAGGTCTGACATAGATCAGGTGTGGCAGATCAGGTATGACATAAATCAGGTCTGACATAGATCAGGTATGACAGATCAGGTCTGACATAGATCAGGTACGACATAGATCAGGTATGACATAGATCAGGTCTGACATAGATGAAATACGACATAGATGAGGTATGTTTTGTGTTTCCAGGTGTTGCAGAGCTTGATCAGATTCTGACGGTTCTTCTTTCCACTGAGATGTTTGTTGGAGGGTTTATGGCATTTTGCCTTGACAACACAATACCAGGTAACACACACACACACACACACACACACACACACACACACACACACACACACACACACACACACACACACACACACACAAACAAACACACACTCAGACACACACTCTCACACAAACACACACACTCATACACACACACAAGCACATGGATCATTTAACACAAGCATCTAAATTTATGTGATTACTGATTTAAGCACAACATGTGTGCACTTGTGTCTTGTGTGTGTGTTTGTGTGTGTGTTTCTGTTCTCCAGGGTCCCGACAGGAGCGAGGTCTGGTTGACTGGACCGCTGTTTCCTCTAGCTCCTCATCCTATGACCTTCCCTTGGGGATGGGTTTAGTGCGGCGAACTGGCTGGCTCAGACGGTTTCCCATCAGCCCCTCCTTCAAAGGTTTCCGGGCTTGTGAGGGGGAGGGGGAGGGGGAGGTTGAAGCTGCTGACATCACCCAGTGCAGCACCAAGGTGTGACTGTTATGTCATCATCAGTGGACGTCCACTGGGCGGGAATCAAACCTGTGATGTCTTTTTTCTGGAATGAAGTTTCTACAGGTGATGCTGCGTTCAATGACCCTCAGATAAAAACCGTGGATTGTGTTTGATGCTGATTTCCAGAGACTTACTGAGGTCAACAGCTTAACCCACTTTAAATGTAATATTGAATTTTAAATGTGAATAATGAGTAACACACACATCCAAATCAAGATCCATGATAATATTTACTACATGAAACTGAATTATAAGTCAGAAATGTCTGATCTCTGATAAAAATGTTGTTAGGGTCAGAACCAATTGAAAGAGGAGAAACTTCAACGAGCCAATCACAGCTGAGTGTGATGTCACAACTAGATGACCATAGAGGATATTACGTCCACAGTGGAGCTGTGTGCAGCATATCTTCTTCAAGAGTCTCTACTAATAGTTACAACTGTTGTGATCAGCACGTCCTATGTTACCATGGAAACCTAAAGCTACTTGAAGCATATCCCAGACTGACTGCTGAAAATGTTTCTAAGGAAACTGTCGATGTTCATGACTTTTCTATAAGTCAAAAATAAAAAAGTGTTTTTATAATCAGTGTGATCAATTCAATGTGTTGACTTTCAGTAACAAACGATCACGTGAGGGTAACCCTCAATGCTAAGATTTCCAGTGCGGAGCGTGAACTGGTTTCCAGTCTCAAACCACCAAATGAACAGTAAAAACATCAAATTCAAAATGTTAAAAATCAAAATGACTTCATGATCTCTTTTCCTTTTTTATTTGTTCTTGTTTACAGTTTATCTGGAAATAAACAAACATTACATCCTTGTTGTCCTGCATCATCACAGAATCATAACGGACATTCAGCTTCTATCTGCTCTCGTGCTCGAGGTTCAAACACTGTGTACAAAAGTGTGCAAAATTAACATCAAACAGTGATAAACAAGAAGACAGGAGTTCACCTCAATACGAATCAATAATCAAATAAACATGATCAAACTGGCTGTCGTAAAGCACGACTGGGATCAGATAATGTAGATACTCCTGAAACCTAAAAGGTCCAAGCTGCAGTTTACCTGCCTGCTAGCTACATGCTGTCCATACTGTCTTCATACCTGCAGAAACATCCTGAAACACTCTGCATAGAGCATCATGTGTGAACACAAACAGCTGAATGTTTCTGTCTTCACCCGGAGTTTCTCCTCCAGCCTCCTCGTATTTATTCTGCAGAAAGTCAGAGTGAGCTGATGTGAGAACGCAGCAGGATATAATCAGGAGAATTCACCTGGAGCGAGTGGGAGGGGGTGGTGACGTTTATTCCCTGTGATCGCTGCACGACCATAGACTGTCTGCACGCCACCTCTACCATCTCTGTGCTCTGATGAACCTGCTGCATTATGTTTCCTGTTCTCCAGTATGTTCTTCTCCACTCTTTAGTTCAGATTGGGATTCTGGTCAACTACACGTAGCATATAAAGACACATATTCTCATTATAGAGTTGTATAGACGACTCTGTTACTGCGCACGACACTTCAAGTCGTTCTTTTACGTCATGTCAAACCTGTGATGTCATCATACATGCTTAAAATGCTGTAATGACATCATATTTAACATGCTGTGATGTCATCATACATGTTTAACATGCTGTGATGTCATCATGGTGCAGTCGGTGTGGAGTTTACTGATGGGGTGTGGGGGAGGGGAAGTGGAGGCGGGGAGAGGAATACAAGGAGGACATAGCCATTGTTGGCTGCAAATGCATCATAGACATGAATGTGGGGGTGGGATTTATTAAGGAGGGACCAGGGTTGAGCATTATGGGGGTGGGGTTTATTAAGGAGGGACCAGGGTTGAGCATTATGGGGGTGGGATTTGTGCTGCACATTGGAACCAGGCTGGAGTTTTGGGTGGGGCTTGATTTAGGAATAAGCACATGGACATATTGACCAGTTTCTGGATCCAGCAGCATCTTCCTCTGATGTGTAGGGGGTGTGTCCAAAAGTAAGCACCTCCCACTTCTAGGGTCAAACATAAAGTGACAGTGGGGGTAGCCACTGAGAAGGGCCCTGGGTGCAGCAGCAGAACCTGTGATGTCAGCCATGAAGTCACTCCCTGTCTGTGTATGTAACACCCCATTAAGGTTACACAAATACTTCTGCTGCGGAAGTTGTTGCTGAGCATGCTGTTGGTCATGTTTCCCCTGTGATGTCGGCGTCACAGTGCTGCCCTCACTCACCTGGGCCACTGACGAGCCAGGCTGTTGAGGTGGGCAAAAGTGTTCCGAATAGTCTGGGGAGTTTTGAGGTGACCGGGTCCCTTCAGACCTCCTCAGCAGGTGACAGGTGGGAGCAGGTTGAGGGTGTTGCAGATGGATGTAGCTCAAGGGGCCACTCACATAGCTAACCTTCCCCATTTGTGGTTGTAGGGTGTGAGAATAAACGGGTAAAACCTGGGCTGGGTAGAAACAGGGTTGGAGGATCTGCTGTGAGGAACTTGGGGCAAAGTGAGAGGACAGGCCGAGGATGGAGCTCTGCTCCTGGGAAGAGGGAGTAGTCTGGGTCTCCTGCTGCTGGAGGAGCATGGAGGGGGGAGGGGGAATTAATAAAGAGGCAGGGATGGAGGCCTCAGCCTGGTGACTCCCACACTTAGCTCTCTCTGATTGGCTGAGCTCTGATAAGTTTCTGCTGACAGGTGGTTTGGTGGGTTGGTCTAACAAAACAATGGGGTAGGTGACATCATCAGCCTTACTTCTTATTACTGGCTCACTGCCTCTTCTCTGCTGTGTGATTGGAGGACTGAAATATTCACTTTGATGTCTATCCTGTGATTGGCTGAGAGATGCAGCGACTTTTGCTACACGTCCTCTGGAGGAGTTGCTGTTAACTGAAGCCTGACTGCTTTTCTTTGTTTCATTGTGACCCACACCCACGACCTGCTGGTAGGTGGGCGGGGGACTCTGCCCCTGACCAATCACCTTGACGCGTGTTGGCTTGTAATGGTTCTCAGGTGTTGTAGTGGAGAACGACAGGCCGTAGGTGGTTTTAACTAAACTCCTCATGTCTCTCACCACATGAACTGGAGCTTTAAATACACCTGCACCTGTCTTACCCCCAGGAAAGCTGGTCTCCCTTCCACCCCCATCACTCACCCGCTGCTGATCTGCAGACTGGGAGAGGCTGGTGAACACTGTTGCTTTCTTCTGCTGGGCGGAGCCCTTACAGGTGATTTTCTCCACCTGCATCTTCTTTGAAAGGATGCTCTTAATGATACAGGAAGCCATCTTTGTTTTAGTTTCAGTTTCATCCAAAGAGAAGGACTTCTGCAGCCGCAGCCTCGAGGTTCCTCCACCATCGATCCCTACAGACAACGACAAAGAGATGAACAAACAACAACCAGGTAGATAAACAATGAGCAGGCAGACAAACAATGACCTGGGGCCTGTACTACGAAGCCAGATTAACAGACCCAGGGTTTCTGTGGGTCCAGCTTCACTAACCCTAACATCAGAGACCATGATTAACACTCATACGAAGCCGGTTATCAACCTGATAATTAACCCTCAAGTTTCCAAGAGGGCGTTCACATAAAAGGGGCGGAGTTAGCTTCATATAGCCTATCACAATCAAAACTGTGTCTGCTGTCAGCAGATCGTCATATCTAACAAACTCTGAACAAACTATATTAATAATATAAAGAGGTTTAAAACAAACCCGGACACTAAAGTTACACAACTGCAGGAACAAATTCAGGAAAAACAACTGGCATCAGAGAGTATCAATGTCCAAACTACAGATTATTATATTTCAGTCCCATCGTTAGTTCACCTTCGAACTGAAGATAATAAACTTTTTTCTCTGAACTGGATGTGTATCTCTGACTGAGCATAGGTTACCATGGCGATATACCCAGGTAATAAGTGAACCACCTAACCACCCAGAGTTAACCCTGAGGTGACCTCGCTAACCCCAAATCCTGCTTCATAGTCCAGGCCCCTGGTGAGAACACAACCGGAAGAAAAAAAAAGGTAAACTCAACTAAATTAAATTCAAAAAATGTTATTTGTGTGGCAATTGAAGGGCACACAGAGCAGTAAATGAACGACAGTGCAGGTAGAGTAAAAATGTAAACCAAAAATATAAAATATATATAAGTGACGATTTAAATACAAAAGTTAGAGTGCTCCAGGTCAACACCTCTGCTTGCGCAACAAGCAAATTGGAGCGGGTCCATCTGGGAGTCAGTTGCTTTGATGATGTGGTGTTTTATGATATTCTCCATGGAGAGGTGAGGGCCGATGGGGATTATTGGGGACTGTGCTGCTGTCCATGGATCTCTGAAACAGGGTCTGAAACATGCCTCCTGGCTGCTCAGTGTGGCCACTGATGCTGTCTGGACCAGGTGAGCTGCTCTCCCTTGTCCTCCTGAGGGCGCTCACCACATCCTCTCTGTTGAAGGTGAGTGCAGAGTCACTGGGCTGGAACATGGACACTGTTTCTTCCAGCTGGGTGGTGTTGTCCTTCTCAAATCTTGTGACGAATGAGTTGAGATCATTGGGAAGAGATGAGGGGCTACCGCCTGCAACCTGGATGATTTTGTTGTTGGTAGCAGGAGTGTTCACAGCAGCCATGTTTTTGAGGCCCTGCCAAGCTGAGCGGAGGTTCCCCTGTGTGAATTTTTCCTCCATTTGTTTTATACTTTAGTTTGACAGTTTTTATGGCATGCTTCACTTCTTTGTTAACCTCCTTTTTCTCCATTTTGGAGCCGGTGAAGTAGACCCTTTTCTTCTTGTTGAGGATCACCTTGAGCTCTTTGGTGATCCAAGGTTTATTGTAGGTGAAGATTGTGACTGTTTTGGAGGGGATGATGTTGTCCACACAGAAGGAGATGTACGATGAAACAGTGTCCACATGCTCTTTAATGTTGTCTGAGGGGACAAGAAGGTTATTCCAGTCAGTGGATTCAAAGCATCCTTGTAGTGTAAGAATGCTTTCGTTGGTCCACTGCTTGATGTTCTTAACAACTTTCTTAGCCCTCCTAATAACCGGAGTATATGCTGGAGCAAGCAGGATGGCATGGTGGTCAGTAGAGCCAAGAGGGGGGAGAGCGACAGATCTGTATGCGTTTGGAACTGAACCATAGCATTTATCCAGTGTCTAATGTACTGATGATAACCTTTCAGTGATCTTTCCGGAGTGCAGTAGTTGAAATCGCCCAGGATGAATTTGGGAGAGTCCGGTGATATATGTTCCAGTTTATTTAATAAGTTTGTGAAGTGGTCAGTGGCTGCGTTAGCGTTAGCTCTGGGGGGAAACTCTCTGGGGAGATAGAAAGGGCGAAGGGAGACAGCCAGAATCTCGATGTCTGAAGTGCACAGTTTCTCCCTCACGCCGATCGTCGAGCACCAGCATGTGTTTACATAAAGCCACACGCCGCCGCCATCTTGTTTCCCAGTAAGCTCACTGTCTCAATCAAGTCTTTAAGGTCCCATATTATGCTTTTTCTGGTTTTAGATGCTCTTTAGTGTGTTTTCCAAGTGTCCTGTGCATGTTTATGCTCATCTATTTGCAAAAATTCAAAGTCTGCGTAAACGCAA